GAAGAACAAAAACAAATGAAGGGAGAGAAGAAGAAGTGATTAAGAAGAAGAAGCAGGAGAAACATAAAAAGAAGAAAGAATTATTGGGGTCGGTCTCCACTATGACGAAATCAACAAAGAAAAGGTTAGTAATGGAAATGAGTCTAGCCAAATCGAAGAGGTGATAAGCCAGACTGACAAGGTGAGCTGGCAAACCACCGAGCTGAACTGGCGAACCGCCAAGCAGAAACAACAAGTTGGATTGATAAAGACGGATTAAACCATTCATGTCCCAGTTAGGTAGACCAAACCAACAAGATATACCAAACCGATGATTCGAGATCAATATTTTTAAATAAAAATAATAGTGTCGTTAACAAAATTTCAACTAGATATTCAAACCTGTAAAAAACCGACTACAACATAAGAACACAAGTTATATATAAAATCAGTAATATATTATATCTTTAAATATAAAAGTTGGGTTTGGAAAACAACAATAAGAGGAGACCGACCCCAACAATTCTTTCTTCTCTTTTTGTTTAAAAAGAAACAGATAATAGAAATGAAGAAGAAATAATAGGAAGGGAGAAGGAGAAGAAGAAAAACTAAATACAATATTAAAAAACATAAATTTCATGTAAAACTAATAACATATTATCATATTTTACAATAACAACTTGTGTGTCTACTATATTGATTTAGTTGCACGTAACTTATATTATCTTATTTTCAAATTTATATTTTTGTATTTACAAAATTTAATTTTAATCCTCATAACACATAAATAAATAATTTTAATTTAATATAACTATAGTTTGTTTTGTAGGAGGGGGGTGGGGGAGACATATCGTAACTGAAAATTGAAACTAACGTAGGTGAAACCGAATCTAAAAACTGGACACCTAGAGGAAGGGAAAAAACAGAGTTAGCTAATCCATCAACAAGACAATTAGCTTTTCTGTTAGCAAGAAAAAAAGACAAATGAAAAACAGACTATTCATTCTCTCGAAATAAAAACATGATACATATGTATCAGGAAACAGACTATCTTATAACATAATATATAATAAATCTTCTTATACTACATAATTTAAACATTTATAAAATTTACTTCAAGAATCATATACCTGCACGGGCGCGCAGGTCCAACATCTAATATTTATTAAAGAACTAACATCCGGAAAAACAAAAACAATTCAAAAATTAACGGAAGTATCCAAACAATCAATTTTTAGATATTTGGATATCTGTTGGTTTTTGAATATTTCAGGAGTTCATGTACACGTTAGGTTTTTCGATAATGTTCGTGAGCAAATTTCAGGATGTCATGTAGGAGTGTGTGATTCGTCCGGGGATAGAGCTGTGTCTTCGAGTTTCGTCTTCTGGGGGAAAAGCGACGAGTCGTTCCGTGGCTGAAGCCTGCTTTGGTACCGGGTACGGGGTGATCGCGATGCGGGATCCTTTGAACACTACACAAGAGGTCAATCAGGCATTCGGCAAGATCGAAAAAGGGTTTCCCTCCAGAAGGTTCTCCGACGAATTTTTTTGATAAACGAATCATTGATGGAATTACAAATGGTTTTTTTTAAGAATCTAATTAGATTCGAGTTCACCAAAACAAATATCTAAATGTTGGTATGCAAATCTGTTTGATCTACGCTTATTTTCAACTCCCCAAAGCATTTCGTCGCTTACTACGCCCTTCCTCGTCTCTGGGTGCCTAGATATCCACCGTAAGCCTAAAAAGCCACCTACAGACGCTTTACGCCCAATCATTCCGGATAACGCTTGCATCCTCTGTATTACCGCGGCTGCTGGCACAGAGTTAGCCGATGCTTATTCCCCAGATACCGTCATTGCTTCTTCTCTGGGAAGGGGGAATTTATGCGGGTTAGGGGTGAAAAGTCTCGTTCGGGGATCGAGACATCTATCTGTATACAAGTGTTTAAGGGAGTGTTCTAGGCAAAAGGGAGAAGATGCGGCTAATATAAAGGCAGGGTTTCGGATTGAGAAGGACTTATCCTGGAAGGCACTCACTCGGGAGAACGAAGGGTTCCCCCTTGATCATGCTGCTTGCCGAGGCCGGTTGACTCGGTTTTGGATGGTCATTCCCTCTCTAAGGGGTTTTGGATCCACCGAGCCGATCCCCCTCCTGTGTGGTGATCTCTCTCTTTTTATAATCGCCATCTCCATGTTTTGTCCATTCCATTCGACGCGCCAGGGGAGCAGGTGGTAATGATGATTCTTTGCGTGTTTGGGGAAGCTCTCCAACTGTCCGTGAACAGTACACGGGAGTGGTTGGGCCGAGCTAGCGTCAGCGTCCATGGCAGTCTAGTCTCCACGTGTCGGGTCCTTCTTGGGCCGGGTAAAATTGGTCCCAACAGTTGCTCCCGACTTCTCAACTAATTGAGAGATGAGTCGGGAAGTCGAATTCTCGTCGACATCATGCAAGAAGGATCACAGCAGAAGATCTCTGCAGAAGTTTTCGGTCAGAGCACAAAGAGTATCAGTCAAGGGTGACTGATACGGAGCATATCGATCACCAGTATTGGTCAAGTGTGATCGACACAAACACACCGGATGAATTTCGGTCATATGTGTCAATCACTCCAGACCGATAGAGACCCATTTCGGTCACTGAAGACCGACACAACTGACCGATACTGACCCAGCCCGAATCTGTTTTTAATTACATTTATGTCATTACTCTAGTGTTTTCTTCTCTAGACTATAAATAGCCCATTTTTCCAGATTTTCGAGGGGTCATGTTATTTTACTGTTCTTGAGCACTTTCTTTAAGTTTGTAAGACAATTTCTTTGCTTTGTTTAATATAATCAAGTATTTGCTTTAATCTTTCTTTAATCTTTCTTTTAATCATGATCAGCATCCTTTTCCTTTGTGATTTGGTGTTAAACATGATTATGAGTGAGTAGTCATCTTAGGGTTTCTAGATGTGGTAGATTAGGGGGATTTAAGGCTTGATTAAGGCTTGTTAAGTGCTTCAGTTTATGGGTTCCTCTCTATTAATCTGTTATTCATGCTAGATTAGTCTTGATCAAACTTGTCTAAGTTGTTAGCTTTCTCTTATGCCCACCAAGTGTTTGATGAAATGCTGATCATGTTTAATAGAGGATTTGCTGGCCTTGGCTCAAGAGATTGACTGTTTGAGGAGCATTTTGACTTGAATAGAGTTGTTTAATCATGCTTGTTTGATGTTTTAGCACTAATGAGAGTTAGTTCTTGTTAGAATGTTTAGCAAAGGGTTATTTGCCAAGACATTGGATCTAACTAGCTTAAGTGTGAACTCTATGTCTAGGAATCACCATTGCTTGCTTGTTTGCTTGATCAATGTAGTTTGAAACAGCCTTAGTTAATGTCTGAAATTTCCCAAAGTCAATAACCACATCTAGAGACTTGCCTTTCTCTTATTTGAATTTCGGATTTGCTCTGTTTTGCTCTGTTTTACTCTGTTTTTCTTGCTTAGAATTGTTTAGTTTGCTTTTGCTTTTACTTTGTTTGCTGCTTGTTTCACTTAGGTTGCTAGAACTGTTGCTTAGGCAACAAAACCAATTCTCTGCTTGCTTGACTTAGAGACTTTACTCTCAACTCTTCTGTTTTCAACTCTTCCCATTGGATTGACATAAAATCATTACTACAACTGACTAGTGCAAGGGTGATTGAACCAAGGGGTCACAAACCTTGTGTCAGTTCTTCGTCTCTTACTTCGTCGTTTTTATTGTTGATAGAACCAGCGCTCGCTTGAGAAGTTAGAGTAGAAGTTTCACGCGGCCGAGCATCGGGAATGGGGTCTCGCAGACAGGACAAGCGAACTCCAAGCCGAAATCCTGATGACCCGGGATCAACTCGCTGAGGCCCAAACCTCCGCTCGGGGAGTGACTTGAGCATGGAGATGGAGCGCCTGTCCTTGGTGCTCGTGGACAGCCAGCGGGACTTAGAGGCAGACCCTTCTTCACTAGCGGGTCTTCACGCCCGCCTGATTTTTAAATTAAAATAACTTGTTTCAGGGACCTTTGTCCCCTGTAAATTTTACTTTCGGACCTGGATCGGTGGCTGTTTTTTTGGCTTGTTTGCTTTTCTATTTTTTTTTTTGGAAATGCATCTCTGTTTGCTTCATACGTTTGTCTTTTATGCGTTGTCTTCGTATTCTGCTTCGTATTCTGCCTCGTATCGCGGACCCGACTTCTCAGCTTCGTGGCCAATACGCGTGATGGTCTCGAAGCTTCCAGTTTTGTCGAGTAGAATCATGGCCTGCGGGCCTTCTACGTTTTCCGCATAGTTAGCCCGTGTAAACCACTTCTTTCGTAGAACGCTCGTCGGTGATTCTCCTTCTTCTAGCGCTAACTGCCCGGAAACAATACACGGAAATGGTTGGACCGAGCTAGCGTGGCATGTGTCAGCATCCAGAGCAGTCTAGTCTCCACTCGGATCCAACAGACAGATAGTATTTCTCAGAATGCAAACCCAATCCAAACCAGACTTTTTAGGTCGATATCAATTTAGGTTTTTGGAACCGGGTAAAATGTTCAAGCTAACGACATAAAAACTTGAAGATAAGGATAAGCCCAAACCGTTATTATGTTATACCACTACGATAAAGTGAAGTCAAACAGTTTCAATTAAACTAAGGCCCATCTATTTTCATGGCCTAAATATAGTAAAATTACAAAATAAATCAGTTATTCCGATAAGTGATTTAGCGGCCGCAAATATGAATAGGCAGCTTCTGGAACAAAACTTACTACTACTGATCCTTTCATTTGTTGCGGTAAAATCCATGACTTACTTTATTGTGGCAACCTATACTATAGGAGACTAGAAACTGGAGTGTGATCTTTCCCTGATGAATGGTCTTTTCTTATCTGTTTAAGTGAAACTTTGCTAAATGATGAAAGAGTATTAACAATAACAATTAGCAAAGTTGAGTGTCGACTACAAATTAGAATTGTTAAAGAAGAAATGAATAGAGTTGAGACATGAAAACAAAACATTACAATGACTAGTTTTCTACAAAGCAAACCTCAGAGGAGACTAATTCTCGCGGCGTGTTCAACAGCTTTGCGGGTTTAAGGGATTCACCATATGCCGCAATGAGCAATGCTTCAGCTCGACCATGATCTTTTTTTCTCTTGAGTTGCGAACTAAGAGAAGGAAACAACTCCGACGCAACTCGTCTACTATCATCCTGTAACCAAGAAATAACTCTGTTTTCAAATGAGAGATTTGCATTTAAACCATTGAAAGTTTGGACAATAAAGAACAATCACCTTTGTGCAGTTTCCACCAGCAAGTTGAAAATGCCTCTTCCATAAAGATGACGGAACCGGAACGACCGAAAAGCCTGATGCAACAAGTGTTCCTATCCAAAATCCATATCCAAAACCTCCACTATACCAACCCTAAGACAGAGAATTCACACAATCATGTAATACTTTTGACAAATAAACATCATAATTGAAGAACAGATGAGTATTCTTCACCTGTTTCCCATCTTTGGGAAAGGGAGTTGATTGCTCTATATATGCTGTGCTTCCTACATTGTTAAACACAAAAACTGTAAACTGGTACTAAATTTAACCTAAAGAACACAACAATAAAGAGACAATGTGAACCATCTTCTTCTTACCAGAGGGTATATCTAAACTTCGAATCAATTGAACTATTGACTTCGCATCCAAACGTTTTCGTACACTCTTCCCAACTAAAACTGGCAAGTGAGGAGTATCATAGACCTAATCCAGATTTAACAAAAAAAAAAAAAAAAACAAATCAACTTTGTTTAACCAACTTTGAGTCTCTTCAAAATGATTCACACCATTTTCTTTATATTCTCCTCTCTTCCCATAAATTACAATAGAACCTTGTAAACATGAATTATTCAACTCACATCTCTGAAATTCTCATTCCTCTTCAGAGATGTAAGAGCGTCTTTCAACAAAAGAATAAAAAAAGATTTTGCTTTTCATACAACCCGAGAGAAATTCAATAAATGAATATGGGGAACCAAATCGTCAATAGACCAACACAATTCTAAAATCCTTAAATGGGTTAACTTCAAATCAATTCATGAAACCCTGAACCCAAAAAACAGAGAAAAATTGCATAACTGAATACGCTCAATAGACCAACACAATGATGAAATTCCCAAAAGTTTTGAATTCAGTTAACAAAACCCTAAAACCACCATAGTTTCACCAATCATGGTTTATCATCGAAAGAAAAAAGTAGCGAGACTGACCTGAGCTTCAGAAGAATCCAAGATGTGGTCAATTTTCAAAAGAGCCAAAGCACCGGACAAGTCTGGGTCAATCCCAAGGACAAAACTCGACTCAGTATTCTCCCGAGTAACCTCGTCTGCTTCTAGTGAGGGCAGAGTCAGAGAATCCACCCATTTCTCCTTCATCAACGCTGCGTCGATGGCTTTGGTCTTTGTAGGAAGAGCGCTAAACGCGAGACTCCGTCGACGCCGGAACGGAGCAGTGAAAGACGACGGCGAGAGACAAAGGAAAGGCCTGAGCCTAAAGAAAAGACTATACATCGGAGGCGGTGACAGTTGACCGTACGCCGTTGGCATTACGAGAATCCGCAAAGGACTTTAATCTCAGATACCCCTCTATACACCTCTGTACATCCGAAAAATCCCATATGTTCTTTTTATAAATTTCATTTTCTTTTTATTTATATTTTAAACAGAAACACGTGAAAAAACGATAAAAAATATAAAAAATCCTCTAAATTACGAACCAACCATATTATAATTATTGGGTTTTGGACTAAACTTATATCTAAATCTGTTTCAAACCTAAATCTAAATCTGGTCTAATCTAAACGAAAAACAATTTCCAAATCTCTAATTTTTCAATCAGACCGCTAACTTTTCCAACTTTTCATCTTCTCTGAGAAACCACCAACTTTCCACTTTTCATCTTCTTCGAGAACCCAAACAACCGATCAAAAATCCGATCAAATCCCTAATTTTTCGATCTCATGGCGCCGCGTAGAAGAGGGGGGACAGTTCGGTTGAGAACACCTTCGCCGGATCATATTTCATCGTCGCCGCCGTCGAGTTCAAATTTGCTGGCGAAGAAGAAAACAGAGGCGAAGAAGCATCTTGCAGCACCGCGAGGAAAAAAGAAGCCAAGCAAGAAATCAAAATCAAAAGACGGAATTTCCAATGCTTCGCCTCTGCCTCTGGCGGGTCCGGTGACTGAAGGAGAAGAAAAAAATCCGCTGTCATCGAGTTCAAATCCACCGGCGAAGAAGAAAAGAAAGGGGGAGAAGAGGCACCGCGAGAAAAAAAGAATAAGTCGCAGAAGAAATCAAAGTCCAGTGCTCCACCTCTGGCGGCTCCGGTGACTGAACCAGCAGAAGAAAGGCTGCCTCCGATGACTGAACGAGATGAAGAAACTTTTGTGGCTCCGGCGGTGCAACCGGCAACCGGCCCGCCTTCGATTTCAGAACCGATAATCAGTTCGTCACCGCAACCACCACCACGGGTAAACCCTAAATTTTGTTCTACAATGGCTAGTATAATTGGGTCCAACTAGTCCGACTAGTATGAGTAGTTTAACTAGTTCAACTAGAACGGTTATTATAACTAGTCTAATTAGTTCAACTAGTATAATTGGATTGCATGAAATGTCGAGTCTGAGTAGTATGAGTAGGTCAACTAGTCCGAATAGTATGACTAGATTGTAGTCATACTAGTCTTACTAGTTTGACACTAGTTGGCGTAGTAATCATAATAGTTGGCCTAATATATGTACTAGTCGTACTAGTTGACAGTAGTTGGCCTAGTAATCGTACTAGTCGTACTAGTTTGACAGTAGTTGGCTTAGTAATCGTAAGAGTTGGCCTAGTTTGATAGTAGTTGGCCTAGTAATCGTACTAGTTGGCCTAGTAATCGTACTAGTCGTACTAGTTTGACAGCAGTATACTAAATCAGTTTCCTTATTTTTGCAGCATGATGATGATGATGTAGAAGAACCAATGCGGCCTCTCGGATATTTCTTCAATCCCACCGAATATCGAAAGGGATGTAAGCTAAGTACCAAATGCTTGCAACACAAATTTAAGGAGGATGTATTTCCAACTTTAGAAGAGGATGAGAAGAGTTGGTTTCTGAACCACCCGCAGTTCAAGCACCTGTTTCACATGAAGACTTATGCAACGAGAAAGGTGATGGGGCTATGGATGTTGCTTCTACGCACGGTAGAAACAGAGAAGGGTAGACAGGCTTGGTTTGTGGTAAATGGAGTGCCCATTTGATACTCCATCAGAGAGCATGGTCTCCTCTCGGGACTGTACTGCCATGAGTACCCAGCCAATTACCCGAAGTTAGGTGGCATGAGGTTTGCTAAGAACCATTATAAAGACGAAAAAATTACAGCTGAAGTTGTACTAAAAACACTTCAGGGGATAAGGTATAATAACACTAAGAATCGGCTAAAGATGGCTGTCCTGTACTTCTTAGCGGCAATTATAAGAGGGAGATCAAAGCATGGAGTAGCCATAGAGCCTTTCATTCTGAGGATGGTTGATAGTCTCGATCTGTGTGAGACATTCCCGTGGGGACGGTTTACTTTTGATGACAACATCAAAGAGATTTATCATATGGGGAAGCATTTCGAAGGATCGATCCCAGAGAAAGCGAGTTGGACGTTTCCTGGGTTCCTCAACCCTTTGGAAGTAAGTCGTATTTCCTTATGACTAATAGTATTAATAGTATAACTAGGTCAACTAGTCCGACTGTTCTAACTAAATGTGCAGATTTTTCGTATAAATAGTATGACTAGGTCAACTAGTCCGAATAGTACAACTAGTCTGACTGTTCTAATTATATGTGCAGATTTTTCGTATTCATAGTAGTCAACTAGTCTGAATAGTACAACTAGTCTGAATAGTACAACTAGTCTGACTGTTCTAATTATATGTGCAGATTTTTCGTATTCATAGTATGACTAGGTCAACTAGTCCGAATAGTACAACTAGTCTAACTGGTGTAATTATATGTGCAGATTTTGGCGTTTGAATGTATTCCAACCCTAAAGATACAATTTCGGGTGAAAGTAAGAAGTGTAGAAGATGATTGTCCAAGAATGTGCAAATGGGAGTTCACGCAGACTGGTACAACTGGATATTCGCTGGGTTCAATAAATGAGCATCTTGGAAATACAAAGGTATTTTACTTTTTTTTATACAAAGATATTCGTTGGGTTCAATTGTGGTTTATTTTTTTTTTCGTTATACTTTGACTACTGAGGGTGAGGAAGTGGATCTCATATAGATGGTCATGGAAGAGACACAATGGTAGGACTCTGAACTGGAGGATGATTCAGATGTAGCTGACCCTATTGTTGATGGGTGGAACAAGTTTATAATCCGCCAACAAGGGAAGATACTGTGGGAGGATGTCTTCATGGCCAATGTTCAGTCCCGAGTTGTCGAAAAAGAATATGTCCAAGAAGAAGATGTCCAAAACGAAGGTGCGACAATAAGTGAGCCACCTGAACAAGAACCCGCAGCTGTGATTGAGCCAATAGTCGAGCAACTGGAAAGGATGATGAACATAATGGAAGAAGGGTTCAAAGAAATTAGAGAGAAGATTTAGGGTTTGGATACAAGAATGGTAGCTATGGAGAGCTTCGTGGAAGAGCAAAGAAATCCTCCAGATTTTGAGTATGGTGGATACAATGATTTCGGTGAGAAACAATATTTGAGTATTTTTTTGTTTTGAATATTGAAGTTTATTTGACTCTTTTTTTTATGTCACAGAGAGAACGGCTGAAGAGAGGGATATGTCGGAGGCTGCTGCGGCTGTAAAGAAGGGGATGGCGGAGAGAGCCGCGGCTGAAGAGAAAGAGAAGGCGGAGAGAGCCGCGGCTGAAGAGAAGGAGAAGGCGGAGAAGGAGAAGGCTGAGGCTGCAGCTGCGGAGAAAACTGAGGCTGAAGCTGCGGCAGCTGCGGAGAAAGAGAAGGCTGAGGCTGAGGCTGCGGCAGCTGCAGAGAAGGAGAAGGCTGAGGCTGAGGCTGCGGCAGCTGCATAGAAGGCTGAGGCTGAGGTTGCGGCAGCTGCGGAGAAGGAGAAGGCTGAGGCTGAGGCTACGGCAGCTGCAGAGAAGGAGAAGGCTGAGGCTGAGGCTGAGGCTGCGGCAGCTGCGAAGAAGCCTGAGGCTGCGGCAGCTGCAGAGAAGCCTGAGGCTGCGGAGATGATGGAGGCTGCGGAGACCGTGGAGACTGTGGCGGCTGAGGCTAGGGCAGCTGCGGTGATAGTGTTAGCGTCGGTGGAGAAGGCTATGGAGAAGGCTCTAGCTGGTAAGTGGAGATTTATTTTCCTTAATGAGCCAAACCATTGGAGATTTAGTTTTGATATAATGAGTTTCATCGATTTTTGTTTATTTTTGTTAGGTGGAGATGACGTAGATACAGTCCAAACTCCTACGAAGGTGAAAATCCACAAACTACCTAGTCTTCAAGCCCAAGCAGCAAAGAAATTAATTAAGAAGCTGAAGAGGAGTAATACTTCCAAGCCAAAAAGGAAGTTGACTCGTTCACGTTTGGTGAAGGATTGTTATGAAGTAACTTAGGCCTTTGAACTTATGTTATGTCTGTTATGTGGAAACATGTCTTTGTGTTTTTCAGGATTTGGACATATATATTTTATGCATGTCTTTTTTTATGTGTTAAATTAAACGGTACAACTAGCAGAACTAGACCAAGTAGACATGAATTTAAAAAATATGTGGCAGCAAAGAAACGTGTGGCAGGAAAAAAACGTGTGGCAAGAAGTTTAAAATGAAGTTAAAAATGGATAAAATATGAAGTCACGTGCGCCGTCAAAAGAGGAAATAAATATCTTTGCAAACTTGCGCCGTCAAAACAGAAATTGAATCCAGTTTTTATAACATAGTTGTATCCAGTTTTTAGTTGTACCCAATTTCAAAACAAAAATTGAATCCATGTAAAATTTTGTAATCAGTAGTACCATACTCTAAATTAAACATTTTTAGTTGTACTTGTGAAATTTAGTAAACAAACTAGATTTAACGTATTTCTAATGCTATAACTTGTATAAAAATACAAATTTTCATGGTTTTCATGTTTGTGTGGTTAAGATTTCTAAAGTAACCTTAAAAGCATAAGGTAGATTGTGTAGACATCACATTTTCATGGATCAAACATTTTCATGGATCAAATTTATATAACTATGAAATGTTCAAATATGCTTGCACATGTTCTGTGGCTTATTTTATGTGGAAACATGTTTACAAATACATTTAGAAATTGTGTTATTGATATTTTTGTAGAAAGCATAGTCGTACTGGTTTTCCCAGTTGGACTTGAGTACAACTAAAATGTAGTTGAACTAGTTGTACCTAAAACGAGTGGTATTAGTCGCACCAGTCGTACCCGACATATTAGACGTGGAATATAGAGTTGTACTAGTGGTGCCTAGTCATACCTTATAGAAATAACATGCATACAAGTCTCAGTCATACAAAGTTGCACACATAGTTGACATAATTTAAAACAAAGACA